AACAAATGTACAAATGTGCTTGACACAATGGATGGATGGATGTATTTTGAAAAGAGATGTATGAACCCCCAATAAAATGATTCAAAATAAAGAAAAGAATATTTGCTGCATTAAAAAAAAGCCAGATCTCTCCAGTTCCCTTTCCACCTTGAAGATGATAAAACCTGTCAGTGATTGCCGGTGAGTGGATTCCCTGCTGCACCCTTGGAGGCTTGTGTGTTGCTCTCACACTGAACCGATTTCAAGCAGAGCTTCCCGACTCAGATGGTCTTGGTAGAAAGGCCTAGAAATCAACTTTTCAAAGCCCATGAAATCCCGCTGTGATCAGCCACATTGGGCAGCATGTTGTCATATTATGTATGGAATTACCAGGAGTCAGGGGTCTCCTTTGAAGCTACAGTGTGAATGAGAGCATTTCCTGTATTGCCAAGATCCATTTGCCTACCCAAGGAGGAAGATGAGCTAGACTAGCTTCAGAATGTGTCAGAGTTCCATGAAGTATGCTTTTCTGTTTTCATGGAAACCCCGGAGGAATATGCTTTAGCTATTTAGATGGTGCCCGTTTCTCTCATCTTCATGCAAACATTAGAAAGGTAGAAACAGGTGGGCCGTTGAGTATGTTTCCCCCAACAGGCAGATTGTGGCAGAAGTGAAGGTAACAACTGCTTGCCCTTTAAGCTTTCCTTTTCCCTGTCACCCCCTTTCTCCAGCACTAAGCCATCACTGAGACGCTAGTCCTGTAGATCTCACCTTGATTAGATTTTTGTTTTCAGAAGAAAAAGAAGGGACTGCATTGTTTTCCTTGCTTTTTATAGAGAGAGCTGAAAACTACAATACAATAACTCAAAATGACTCTTGTTAAGCATTCTCAGCCAGGTGCATTCCCTAAGCAGCCTGCCATCGCCGAAGTTCATCTATTTATTTGTCGGAAATGGACATGTTTTCCTGCAGACTTGTCAAAAGTAGATGTCGGTGAACTCTGGCGATTTTGCCTCTTCCGCTGTTTGGGTCATCCCAAAACACAAAACCCCCACCCCTTCTGCTTTTTAAATTACTTGTTTCATGGGCTCCCCTAATTCTTTGCACTTCTGATAACCCCTATTCAATTCAGAAAGAACCAGTCATGCCAAAATTTCCATGGTTTTGTTCTCTGTTGATCCTCAGGTGTAGCCTTGCTGGCTTACTGCTTATGTGTAGGACTGTGATCTCCAAAGTCCAAAGTTCAAAACCACCAGCCGCTCTGTGTGGAAAAAAGATGGTGTTTTCGACTCCCCTAAAGAGTTACATTTGCAGAAACCCACGGGGGCAATTCTCTCCCCTTTCCTATAGGGTCACTCTGAGTCGGCATGGACTCGATGGCAGTGAGTTTGGTGATTTGGTTTAGGGCATCAGTGCCCTGTCTCGTGTAGACAGACACACTGATCTCTTTCTGATCCAAAGGTTACTTGGCTGGACCCCTCTTCCTTTGCTTTTGAGGTGCTGGGACTTGTGCTTACTGATCTTACTCCATAATATGGGATGTTGTCTTATGTTTGAATGATATCCTCAGGGGCCACAAGTGATTATGGAACCAGCATAATGCTGTTGTGTGTTTTTCATTGGATATGGATATCTTATTTCTGCCTCATCAGTTAATAATTAATCAACCATCTACAAGGAATATGGGCAGCGATAAAATGCCTCATGTTCCATTTATTCCAAGTTCACATGCATTACATGCCTCCCTTTGCCCCACCATGAATCCCAGCTAGTTTTAAAGCTCACGTTATCCCATCAGCTCACACATACATGAGGGTTATTCTGGCCGACTCATACCAAGACCATTTATTGCTGACTTTTTTCTTACAATGGGAGCTCTCGTAATATAATCAATGTATATGCAGGGGCATTCAGATTCAAAAAATAAATAAATAAACAGGCACCAACAAATTATAATCAGTTATAATTGCTGCCTACTTAGGAAATGCAGTAATTCTATTAAATTATAGATTTAGGGCAACACCTGCATCTTCATCAGCTTGGGGAATCAGCCCAATATGCCTCTTCTTTTCTTGTGGTTGTTTATCAAGCGCTCTTGTTTTCCAACTACAAGTCCGGGGGAAGGTCAGTCTTGCCCCAGTTCTCTGCTTGTCCCCTGTCTTTGCAGATCTGAATGGAAGATCTGTTCACAAATCTCTCTCCTGGACTGTTGAAATGTTCCTTTTCTCTTTCTTTCTGTCTTTCTATCTGTATTTCTCTCTTTTTCTTTTTCATCCAACTGCTCCCAGCCACCTAAGGGCCATGTGCTCTGGCTCGAGTTCCTAAGTGAGAATGTGGGCACCCCTGTGAGCCTCTAATGGGGCCTCAGCAGGTTGCGGAGTTCAGTGGCCTCCAAAGGCTCTTCCCTAGCCAGGATCTCATTCAATCTCTGAGCATCTGGGGGTCTTAAAATAGCCTGCTGAGCAGAGTGCTTAAGAGCAAATCCTAGTCAGCTGGACCTTAGTTCAATCAAGGTTCAAGTTAGAAGTCTTTCCATGCAGAGACTGTTGCCGCCACAGAATGAAAAGTAAATTAACAGGAGCCTGGCTCACTGCTGATTCCCACTCATAGCGATGCTATAGGCCAGGCCTACACACACATGCAAGGCAGATGCCGAGAAAAGCCAAAACTAAACAGGCGCTCCTGTTGACTAGAATTGTGTTAACATTAGCAGACTTATCAGCAGTACCAAAGTAAGGAGAAAATAATGTCATATTGTCTAGTGCTGAGGGGGAACAGCTGAATCTAAAACAACAAATTAATTCCAATGGTTATTAAAGTGTGATGGCAAAGAAATCTTAAAACCATCTCAGTCAGTGTACTAACCGCCAACAAAACGAACAGCACCAACCAAACTCCTTGCCACACAGACGACCCTGACTTCCGAGGACCCCCTGGTTCACGATGGAAGCGCTCTGTGCGGTTCCTTGCCTTCATCCGAGTGGTCCCCAGGCCGTCCTCGGCGTGGCTTCTAGCCACCGTCTTTTCGCCCAGAAATTGAGCACAAACAATGAGTGTCACCTGGGGACTCCTGCCAACCACAGAACTCTTTCAAACATATCACTTAAGGAGCTGGACTAAAAGAAAAATAGCTCCATAAGGACTTATTGAGATGTAATTTTAGAAAAGAAGAAATAAGACCTCGAGCTAAATCTAAATAAATATGACCCATAAAGTATGTGTATATAAAGAGAACACTGAAAATTCCAGACTGCTCAGGGAAAGTAAAGCAGGTGGCAAAATATGTTGAGTTTCTGCTTTTATTCAGGAAGAAACAAAAAAAAGTTAAATTCATTTTAGATCTTATTAGGAAAAACATGCTTTTATATTGAAATTTTAAGGGTAAACACTAGTAGATAAGAAATACGACGTGTATTATTTTAAACTTTGACAAGAAAAACATGAAATAAAGAAAACTTGATAATTTCAACAGTAATCAGGATGAGGAAATTGATAAATAGGAAACAGAAAATATAGTGACAGAGATAAGATCAACCTTGCCAGTAATCACAATAAGTATGAATGGGCCACCCTCCCTTATTATGAGATAGAGATTATAGATTAGTATTTGAAAGAGTGAGTTACACTTAGAGCAGTAAATTCTTTTTATAGTAGCCACATTAATAATCTGGAAAAAAGGAAATACTTGACCTTGAATTATAAAAATAAAGGACATGCCATGTTGCTGAAATGTTCTTTTTTATCATATAATGTCATCACTTGATATTGTACACATGGCGGTAGAATTAAACACAACTTAATGAAATTGTAAGGAAGAATTGCCAAATCCACAACTGTATGCAGAGACTTGGGATAGCTTTTCTCCAAACCTAGACTTCTCCCAGTCAACAAAACCTCCGGGGTGGGGGTGGGGTGGAGAAAGACATTCACCCTAAGTGTTCTCAGTGCTTCTCTGATTGAAGTTAACCCTTTTGTCCCTCAGGAGCATTTATACCTCGGTGTAATGAAGAGGGTTATTACAAAGCCACACAGTGCCATGGCAGCACGGGCCAGTGCTGGTGCGTGGATAAGTACGGCAACGAGTTAGCTGGTTCTAGGAAACAGGGTGCTGTGAGCTGCGGTGAGTAAAGCCTTCTTACATTTACCCTCCAGTGACTCCCCGCTGCCTGTGGGTTCTCACCGACTGTGGGTCTTCAGCGGTCTGCTCTACATCATATAAGGAAGACAGTAAAACTCAAACAACATGAGATTATGCATATCCAGGATTGCAGGTGCCAGGAGATCGCATGACCTTGTATTGGACAAGCGTTTTTGACAACCACGGAGCTATTGCTTTCTGTTTAGGATTATAAAATCTTCCTCTGACGGCAGAGGTAAATCAAGAATAGTAGGGTCCATATAAGAAAAAGCTTGTGGTCCTTGCCATGTGGTCACCCTACCTGGCTTATTTTAGGAGCAGTAGAGTTGCTAAGCTCCTACATTTAGAAAGCAAATTGTATGATTTTACCCTACAGGTAGAGCGCATGCAAGAAGGGAAGCCTGCCATGGTTCACTGGGTAGAAGGCAATCCTCAGTCTTTTCTCCCTTTTTGACGTGTTTCAGAGGAGGAGCAGGAGACGTCGGGAGACTTTGGCAGTGGTGGCTCCGTGGTCCTGCTGGATGACCTGGAGGATGAGCGGGTGCTGGGGCCGAAGGACAGAGAGGGGAAGCTGCGGGTGCACACCCGGGCAGTGACAGAGGACGACGAGGACGAGGACGACGACAAAGAGGATGAGGTCGGCTACATCTGGTAGTTCCCATGAGGAAAAGGACACAGGTTGTGCGCAAAATTGCAAGGCACTCCCCCTTCCTGCATTTGTGTCCAAGGCTTGAGGCACCAAGGTCCCTTCTCCACTGTTGCTCTGTGCCCGACCCAAGGTTTGGAAGGCAGCTCCTTGTTCCCAGAGCGTTCAGGCTTTGAATCCAGTTGTGTGGGAGGAAGGGTGTTGTGCTTTGTTATTTTGTTTTGTTTTTGTTCTGCTTTGTTTTCCGACAGGGGAAGGCATGGCTGAATAAACGCCTCCTTCGCTCCTGTGAGATTTTTTGCAACAAGCATGTCGTTTCTGTGGAATTCTGATCGTGCAGGGAGCCCCCACCCTCTTAAACGTCAAAGACCCTTCTTGATTACCTACACTGGTGGTTATTACAGCATGGTTCCCGGCCTTACAGTGTCTAAGTGCTTTTCTTGTGTCCTGTAGATGTCGTGGACAACACACCACAACTGTCCCGTGCCCTCCCTGCCCTCCACCACCCCTGGTGTTGATTACAATTTAGGTTCTCACATCACGATACCTGGCTTCCTAGAAACAACAGCCTTAATTCGTCCAGAGTCCCTTTGGGGAATTAATTTTCTTTATCACAGATGCTTCTCGCTGTATGTCCATAAATGGAGTATGTGTGTACCTGTGAGGCTGTGTGTGTATGTGTGTGTGTGTGTGTGTGTGTCTTGTGCATGCACATCCCTGAACGCATACTTCTCAGAAAAAAAAGTGCTTGAGGTATCCATTAAAAACTTATTTGAAAAATAATTGCCCATTTGCCAGCTTGTCTAGACCTGGATTGCCACTGGTGGAATAAGATTTGGGTTGAGTCCTATTTTGCACTAACAGTCGGCCCTTGTGGCCTGCAGGCTGAGGAGGCGTCTTCTCTCTGCATCAGCAGAGTTCCTGGAATCCGCTTTGATCAGATGAGTCTTCGTCTGCCTAAATCACTTATCTTGGGAAGCCATGCAACTCCCACATGGGCCGCTTCACAAGCCATCACTTTTGTTTCTGCGCAGCGCCCTCTTCCTCCTCCTCCTCCTCCTCCTCCTCCTCCTCCTCCTGCAGCAGGCAAGTCTGCCACAGGCTCCCCCCTTCCCTATAGGCTCAAGGGCTTTTTATAAGGATGTGCTTAAATGCCTCTTCTTGAGAAGACAGTCCCCCAGTGTTCACTGAAGAAGACAATGTAGGATTCTTAACCCAATGTTCTGCTTTGTGCCCTTTCTATCCACAAATCATGATGATGTTACAAAAGTTGTACAGATTTTTTATTTTTTAGCCACCATCATTTTTTGCCAGAAACTCGGATAAAGGCCTAGAGGGAACTTCATGGTAGCATGGGTTAGGGGTTTAAGAGCTCGTGCGCTTGCCGCCGCCCCAATCCATACAGATATAGAACGAATGATGCTAATGAAGGAAGCCCTTCACTCTTGCATTTCTTTTTCCAAAGTTAACTCACATGGTTGGGGGGTGGGGTGGAGGTGGGGGTTAGGTCCAAATATGTAGGTCAGTAAGTCATCATCTATATATTCTTTAGGATTATTCTCCCTAGCAAGCTGGCCCAGATACAAGTACCAAAGAATAGTCTTCAAAGTGGTCCCATTCAGTTCAGTACCTGCCCTTCAGCCTTGGCCCCATCTGGTTGCCACCTACCTAGATGCCCCAATCAGTAGCCCAAGCAAGGTTCCCTGGTCCACATTGGTTTTTCTTGCCGCTCCTATTAGCTATAGCCAGTCCACAAGAAGACCAGATTAACTCAGGCAAAGCAAAATATTCGGTCAGACCATGATCACAGTGACAACTGACCAGCCCCAACTCCCTGAAATGGACCATTTGTACTTTGCCAATCTGCCTGCAGCTGGTGTCATCCGGTCTTTGCATGTAGCTAGATAAAATGGGATTATTCCCAGAGTTGGGTTCAACTGAGATATGAATGTGTTCCATGTAGCTAACTCATTGGCTTGACAGTCACAAGTATAACAAAATTCCAGATAGATTTACTTGCTCTGAAGGGAGACCATAGGCCAAGCTCTGTATAGAAATCACAACTCTTTTGCTAATAATTTGTTCACTTGAGCAGAACTTTGAAATCACAAATTAGAAAACAGATGCTTAATTGCATCTAAATGACAACCGAGTGTATGAAAAAAATCAAGACATATTTTTTAAAATCTCAGTTTAGGCCATCAAAGAACCATTGTTACGATCTCCTCTGAGCTTGGGAAATTGCACGAGAACAAATTAAAATCGACAAATTGATTTCACTTAGAGAAACTTCTAGGAACAGAGTGAGCCACTGATTTTAATTTGCCTAATTATCTTATGACAAGTGTCACATTAAGATGACACTTAAAGATCCTTAGCATTCACTTAATGATGGAGAAGAGTGCTCACTAGACAATTCCCAGTTAGGTAATGAGGTGCCATTTCAGCGATATCCCGAGAAGATATTTTGATTCATTAAAATATTAAATAAAAAGCCCTCCTGAGACTGGAACCCCAAATCAATGGAGCAACATTAACACTACTTCTCATGCCTCACCTTAGCAGTAGCACTAGGTGTTTTTCCCAAGGACTTTATACTTTCTGCAAGTACTACAAATTAGATTTTGAGTTACCCTTGGGGTAGAATTTTTGTTTTCCTCTTTTTGCAGGAGCACATTAGTTACCATGACTTAGTATACATAAAATCTTGATTAAAATATATATATATCATGGTGATAATCCAATCCCTTGTTTGACTTGAGGTATTCAGCTGAATCCATACTAACCCATTGGCGCAAACTCCAGAGTGAATAGCTTCATTCATAGTCCATGAATGACCCTTTGATTTAATATTATTTCCTTGGCAGCCAACTTAAATCCCAGGAATGTCTCCCGTATGGTTTGTTGACTGGCATATAATTTCCTTTGATTTCCACAAATATTCTAGGTGTGGGAATTTCTTAATATTCTAAAGTTAAGGTTTTTGTAAGTGTCCCTTTGTCTGCCCATTTCCTCACCCCTAGCACAGACGACTGTCTGTTTGTCCAGGTCTGCCCCTCTGCTCTTCACAGGAGGCCACTCTCATTGGTGGTGGTTGTTGTTGTTTTCCTTAACCACACTGTACAATAACATCAAGGAGCCCTCCCTTTCTACAGTGGGTGGTTTTGATCTTTTTATACCTTTTTCTCAAAGTCACTACAGTTTGTCCCTGTCAAATGTGCAACATGGTAACAAGAGCCCACCAAATCCTGAGCGTCAGTTTGTTGTCCCTATTGTAGATGAAATAGTGAAATAGAAAACCTTAGTAAATGTTGAATGCTTTTCCATGTAGACTTATCTGGAATGTGAACATGACTCTTTGGTTAATAATAAATGCTTAACTGTAGTCTTGAGTAGGTGCATTTCTGTCTGTCTCAATAAATTTTAATTTGTCTGCAACATCTCAGTGTGTGTCTTTTCTTGGTTGCCGTATGAACTAAGCAGGCTGGGTCCACTCACCATCACTGGAGAACAATATGGGCAGACGTACTTGCTGTGGACAATCTTTTCTATGCCTTTCCGGTTTCCAACTTTCAACTTTTTTTCACGAAGCTGATTCCTTCCTTTCCCAACCAGTTATTTAACAATTCTCCTTAAAAAAACAAAAACAAACTTGCTCTGCTTTTTAGAAACTCTGAGCATTCCTCCCTTCGTGAAGTAACCACAAGACCCCTGCCAGCATCAGGAAGTACCAGATTGAGTAGGAATTCCTCGAGTTCCATCCTGAGCCGTGTTTGGGCCAGTGTCTATGACTTAATCACACCCTCGGTGAGTAATCTCACCACGCGATGAGGTACACGCTGTCTTATGAATAATTCCATTCCTCTACCCCACGGGCCAGATTTCATAGACAATTGACAGATTGACAGTTGCAGGAAAGATGCATCATAAATCCAGGAAATAACTAATGTCAGGAGAACAACGGCCAGATATGAAGGCTTCGAGGTAGTAAAAAGATTACATGAAAAGGTTGTTGGCATTTGTAGACATGTTCTAGATTCTTCTGTATCACAGTTTTACAGGTCAGACTCTACATTTCTCCTTTAAAAGACTTGTGTGGATGTCACCTTGGTCTTTTAAACTCGAGGGCCAAGGGAAGACATGTTTATGAAAAGATCCAGCTTCCATTTCTGCAGCCCGGGCACATAGCAAAGACAAAGGCCACCGTGCCTGCTCAAAAGTCTGTCCCTTTGAAGATTTACTTCAATGAGTTGATACAAGGTAAGAGTAAGATTTCAAATCATATTCCTTCAATAAGCTTTACAGATTAATAGGTTCAATAAATACATGTTGGATGGATGAGCATCATATTCATTTCTAGAAATATAAAGGTGGATAAGACTTGGTACCTGCCTGTGAAGATATGATCTTCATGAAAAAGGTAGATATATACATGCCTCTTACAATATGAATGTCAGTTGATATTAATGACCTCTATAACTTTATGCTTGAATCACTTTATACATAATTCCGTGACATTCCTTCTACCTCTCTGGCCATTCCTTTAAGTTTTCCTGTATTCTCTCTTGTTCAGCCACTTTGCAGGGATCTATTTTCTGAGGCTACTTCTCTTTAACCTGACCTGCTTTCTGTGAAGCCACGTCTTTACCTGTGGCTCCAATCAACTCCACTCAGAGAAGCCTCGAGCCCACATCCCCAATCTGGGCTCTGGTTTACCTTCTGATCCTCTCTAAAACAATCACCTGGCATTTAAATAATTCTTAAACTTCCCATGGACACCACAATTTCAAACTTGAAAAAGTCAAAATGCAAAGAGTAAATATATTTTATCTAAACAAGTCCTAACAAGCAAAAGCTATAAAGGGAATGATTGCTAAATCAAAATTAATAGCACATCATGAATAAACTTAAAAGATAAGCACAGTAAAGAAAATACTGGCAGCATAGGATTGCGCCATCAATTATGGATTAATGTAAAAAATCTCAAATCTATAAAAAAATTCTGTAAACAATGATGAGCATAAGATGAAAAAAAAAGAGAGACCCACAGAGGAAACACTGATACCCAATGGAACCATGTACGGCCTCACCTAGGATCTGAGTAATGCAAGTTAAACACCCCATTTCCCTGCATGAAAATGTTGGCTGAGATCACGTGCTGATGACAGTGTGGGGGAAATTAGCACCTTTGTATCTTATTTCATCAGAGCAGCCTCATGGAGGAGGCTGTTTGGCAGTGCTGGTTTTGTGTTTAGGTCCCATCGAGTCTAAAACCGTATGTGAAACAGAGAGGAACTCTTCCCGGTGCTGCACCAGCCTCAAAGTCTGTGCGAAGCTCAAGTGCATTGCTGCAGCCACAGGGGGCCATGGGGGCTTCATCTTTTCTTCCAACCTTCTACTTCACCAAACAAGAAGTTCTCTGAAGACTGGAGCCTTGTGACAAAATGCCCAAATTATGAGACACAAAGTCTTGCCCTCCTCACTTCAAGAAGAATGCTGGCTGTACTTTCCCCAGCCCTCACTGGCCGCCCATGGCATATTTAATATTCTTAGCCAATGCTGTAATCCAAGGTATCATTTCTTTAGCCTTCCTTTTTCATTGTCAAGATTTTGCATGTATTAAGCGATGGAAAATTCCATAGCTTGGGGCAGGTACTCTTTAACCTTCAAAGTGACATCTGTTCTTTTTTAACAGATCTTTTACAGCAGATTTCTCTGGGCCAAATATCATTTGCTTTCTTACTGCTGCCTATATGGGCAGTGATTGTGGATCCGAGTAAGATAAGAGCCATGGCAACTGCAATATTCCCCTCCATTCATCATGATGTTGCTATTGGTCCGTTGTGAGGATTGGTGTTTTGTTTATTTGTGTGTTTGTTTTGAGGAAGAATCCATACTTTAGTGATAGGTCTTTATCATCATGTGTTTCAAGCAAAGATATGTCATGTCCATGTCTCTACAGATTGTTCTTTGGCTTCCTTCCCATTCAGATGATGCACTATTCCTCGTGTGCTCCAGCTTCTCCGATTATTTGCTCAGCAAATAGATTGAATAAATATGGTAAAAGGATACAACCAAGTTTAACACCTTTCCTAATTTTAAACCACGAAGTATCTTTTTGTTCTAGTCAACTGACTGCCTATTGGTCTACTTACAGGTTCCCTGTGAGCACCATGAAGTGGGCTCTGGAATTCCCACTCTTCAACAGTGTGCCTCTTTGCAGAGTCAGTCAAGCAGGTAAATATTTTTCCAGTAGGCTTTGCTTTCAGCCTAGATCCTTCTAACATCTGCAAGCTCTCTTTCCATGTCCTCTTCAACTTCAACTTCTGGAAGTTCCTCATTCAATAGACTGCTGCAACCATATTTTAATTAGCCTACGTAAAATTTTCTTAGGTGCGAAATTGATGATATTATTTGATCAGAACAGGTATATGAATCTCTTCAGTCAGTTGTCTTTGAAATTCTTGACATAGGCAAGTGAGTGCTTCCAGCTTTGCATCTGTTTGTTGTCGAAACATCTCAATTTGTATTCTGTCAATTCACCAATGCTTTCTGTGCAACTTGAACTTCTTCTTTCAAAACCATCAATTCTTGATCACGTGCTACTTCCTGAAATGGTTACACACTGAACACTTCTTTTTAGTACAGTGACATTGTGTTTTCTTTCCGTCTTCTTTTGATGCTTCCTGTGTCCTTCGAAGATTTTTGCAGAGTCTTTCAATAGTACAACTCACGGCTTGACGTTTTCCTCCGCTCTTTTCTTTTCTCCAGTCCTTTCAGGGAAAATGAAGAGCATCCTCTTTTTCGTTGCTTTCTAATTCCTGGGCTTTGCACATTTCATGATAATATTTTCCGTTGTTTGCCTAAGACATTCTTTGAAATCTGTTTGGCTCTTTTATGTGATAATTTTCCCTGTTGGCATAGTCATTACACATTGGGCTACAATCTGCATGGTCGGAAGTTCAAAACTACTCAAAGCTCCTCTGGAGAAGGCTTTTCTTCTACTCCTGGAAACAGGTACAGTCTCAGAAACCCACTGGGGGGTTGCTGTAAGTCAGCCCTGACGTGATAGCAGTGAGTTCGGCCTTTGGTTTGGCCATTGCTAATTGACAGGGAACTGCTAGAAGTTCCGGCCAAATTCAGAAGAGGACTTGGAACAAGGGATATCACTGTTGATGTCAGATGGATCTTGGCTCATAACAGAATACCATCAGGATGTTTACTTGTGTTTCATTGACTATACAAGGCATTGAAACTGGATCCGACCAAACTTTCACTGCCCCACTACTTTACCAAGCAGGATGTCTTCTCCAGGGACTGGTCTCTTCTGACATATCAAAATAATGTGAGACAATTTCTTATCCTTGTCTCTACATAGAATTCTGTCTGTACTTCTTCCATAGCAGATTTGTTGATTCTTTTGGCAGTCCATGGTACTTTCAATATTTTCCACCAGCACCATAATTCAAATGCATCAATTCTTCTTCTGTCTTCCTTGTTTGATGTCCAACTTTCATATGCCTATTTTGTTATGTCAAGTTGACCAGAGAAACAAATGCAATAGCACTCATATATGTGTAGGAAAGCGCTTTATTATGTATCACAAAACCATCCCAGCCTAGTCCAACTCAAATCTGTAAATCTGACACTAGTCCATAAGCCCCTCACTAGACTCACGTAGTAACCTGCAATTATGCAGAATGCAGGAAGAGCGCAGGCCAGTGGGTGTAAATGTGGATCCAATGGTATGGCGGCATCTGGTCTCAGAATGGCCCACCGACAGGAAGGTGAAGGCAGAGAGGGAGGTTCTCAGGGCCCTCCTTATGAGAAGGCCACACCCACAAGGAGGCACCATTAGGCTGTGACTTGATTGACAGGTTGAATACCACCTCTACAATATTATATATCAAGTTGACATGAAATGATGTAACTATGACACATATGAAGCAATTGAAAATATAATGGTTTGGCCCAGGTGCACCTTAGTCCTCAAAGTAACATCCTTGCTTTTCAACACTTTAAAGAGGTCTTGTGGAGCAGATTCACCCAGTGCAATATGTTTGATCTTTTGGCTGCTCCTTCCATGAGTATCAATTGTAGATCCAACCAAGATGAAGTCCCTGACATCTGCAATCTTTTCTTCATTTTCATGATGTTGCTTACTGGCCCAGTTGTGAGAATTTTGATGTAGTAGATCATATAAATGTCTGACTCAAACTGGCCAATTTCTTATCACTAATGCCCAGACTATAGAGGAGCATTGACCATATATATGGATTTTACTTCTACTTTCTCACAAAAGGAATGTACCATAATGTCTCTGTGATTTTAACGTAAATAACCTAAAAATCATCCGCTATCTTTCTCAAGTGGCTCCTCCTCCAGTGCATGGCTACAAGGATGGCCCTTCAACTAGGCCCTTCTCCAGGGTGACACCT